TTGTCTTATTGCTGAAATCTGAATTAAACTTAAACCTTGCATTGCCTTCCGGTTCTACTTAATCCAGAGATTCTGATTAAAACCAGCCTGAGCAACAGAAACTATCTTGTTTTTCTGTGAAACAATAAGATAATATTTTAAAGGGGTTTAGCGGCTGCAGGTGTGTGGTTACGGTGCAAAGTTTAATTTTGCACAAAATCTGATCTCTGCAAAACTTTCAGATTTAGCTTCTGAAAAGCCTGCAACCTTAGACTTAGACAAACTTTATTGTCATTTTGTATACTCAGCATTTCAATACAGACAGCTTTTTTTTAAAAAGTAAACGATCAGCTTAGCAGTGAAATTAAAATTTCTGGTGCAGCAGTGATCAAAATGAGAACAATGTGGTGCAAATGGCATAGATATGGAAGGTCCAGAGCAGTGCAAAAATAAATAAATATGGTGCAGAAGAAACACTGTGTTGAATTCTATTTAAAGGGATTTAAAAATGTATGCACTGCAAGTATGATGTTCACAGTGCGATGCAGAGTCTCTGGCCGTTTCACAGGAACAAGAGTACGGACTCGTGTTCTCACCAAGTTTGTTCCTGAGAAGAACCCAGGAAAGTCGAGACTCGGGGACCAGACTCTTCCTTTTTCCATTTGCAAAATGGATTAAAAATAATCTCATAATTTTGCTGGAATATGTTGTTAGCTGATTGGTCACAGAACATGACAGGGGATAGGAAGTTGTATCCGTAAAATAGTTGCTATTTCTAACAAGAAGGATTTATTTAGAAGTGAAGAGTCTTTTGTACAGTTGTACGCTCTGACCAATGGTCTCCTAATCTGATGTGTCGGTTAAGGTGGATTTCCACATCTTGGTTGGTTTGCAGTAAAGTCATTTGTCTCTTTTAGAAACTTTAGCAGGGCTCTCTGAGATGTCTGGAGGTGGTGATAATGTTTAGCCAGTTTCGGTTTCTCCACATACTTCTCATAAATGTGTTAACTGTAGTGTTTGGTTGCATGTGCGGCGTCTGTGTTCTCTAATCTCACATCTGCAGGAAAATCAGATTACCAAGAAGGAAAAAGTTGAAGTCCCGAAGCTTCGCAAAGCAAACAGGAATTAAACCACGATGCAGGTTTTGGTTTTGTTGAGCGTAAAAAGTTCACCTCAGGCCTCATAAACAGGAAACCCACATGAGATGCCCTCTAAAATCTTCACCTGATCGTTCAGATTAGAAGCTGACACTGAGCTGAGAGCAATGAATCCTTCTGCCCCCCCTGAGGCTTTACCACTGCAGCACAGTGGACATCAATGGACCTCTGGGCAGTCTGGGAATCCCGGCATGATTCAGTACACCACTGTTAACATCCCTCCTGAGCCGCCAAAAGACCATCTCATCTGGTCGCTCTTCAACTTGGTCTACGGAAACATTTGCTGTCTTGGATTGGGGGCTCTCGTTTTTTCTGTCAAGGTGAGTTGATGCAAAACAGTTTTCCTAGAATTTATATACAGCTTCTGATTATGAAACAAAAGAGAGAGGAACACATGTAATGACAAGACAGTGTTTAATTAATGCAGAACAACTTGGAAAATGAAAATCTAAAGGGTTCAGCTTTGGGTTAAATGTGAGTAAATAAAGAGGAAGCCTTCCTTTCACAAAACCAAGAAATGGAGGCATTTCAATGATTTCCATTTCTGTTGAAACCATTTGGGTCAGAATTAACTGGAAGGATCAGGTGAATAAATGGGCAAACTTTACAATATTTGCCTTTAAAAGACAGTAACTCTGGTTTCAATGTGATGAATGATTCAGATTATCGTTATCTGTTATCGTTTCATGAAATGATAACAGATGTTCCAGTTTTCTGTTGTTCAAAGTACAAATTTCACTATTTTGGTGCAATTTTTAAATACCAATATTTTGCTGTTTTCAGGCCAGAGACCGGAAGGTGGTCGGAGATCTGAGCGGCGCCCAAAGTTACTCCTCCACTGCTCGCGTTCTCAACATTGTGGCAACAACCCTGATGATTTTGGGAATCCTTATTTTCATAATTATTTTTGCTATCCAAGTACACTTCTATTTAGCTTATAAAAACCGTAAT